GACACAGTTGTGGGTGCTATGGATGCTACCGAGAAATACAGGATTTTGACTTCTGAAGAGTTTTCAACCTATGTGGAGACACAGGACATAGGCATATTATGAGAAGACTAATGACATAAGACACTGTGATTGGGGTCAAGTGAGAAATATAGATATTAAGTCCATCATGTCAAGTGTACATAGTGACTGGAGTGTGTCTGGAGAATGGATAGGATTCAAACTGGCAGAGGTCAGAGCAAAGGTTCATGAGAGACAATGGAAAAGAAAGTTCCTCCCAGAGAGAGCTAAGGTGCTGGATAGGTTAAGCATGAGACTTACTCAACTGTCAGGCAAGAAGTCTTCCCAATTCCTGTCTCACAGGGTTTGATGATAGCTATGGTCTAGTGGCTGGTGTGTGTTTCCCATTCTCCCTATTTCCAAATGGAAGGTTTTGCCACAGTTGTGATGTTACTAGTCCACGGAAGCATGCAAGGTGCACTTTTGTGGACCTGAGTGGTTAGAAAGAACCAGCTATCACCTAGGGCATGCTTGGTGGCGTTGTGGAACTGGTTTTCTTTGGGAGGCGCAAAGCGTCTTGTATGTGTGAGGAGAACATAGACAGAAATATTTAGATAATTACCTAAGTGTACCATTAAGAGACTGTTCTCTATTTATTCCTTGTTAACCGAGGCCCAGACACCAGCTAGGTACAGTGCTGCCCAAACAAAAGTCACCTCATTCCAGCCTGATCCACAGGTGCACTTTTATATGCACTTTTATAACATCCATCTTGTTTGAAAGTAAATTTGGTGACTGTCTAGCTTGCAATCCAAAACTTGACTTTACATAGGATATTTCCAAACTCCATTTCCACAACTCTTAGTTAAACTGACAGAAGAAGTATTTCGAAAGTTTTATGCCTATCACTTGTAATCCTCACAGTATTTTCTCAAGATATGTATTTACTAGGCTCATTATCCAAATGAGGAAATTAAGGCTTAGGAGGGGTTACATGCCAGGCTCAAGGTCACATAACTAGTAATACAGGTGAGACTTGAATTCATATTTGGCTTCCTGTTCTTCCCATCTAGTATACTACAGCCTCTGATTTTTACAAGCCTCTTATTTTGAGTTTATGGACACGTTTTAGGATAAAAATATTAAATAGGCACCACCTGAATAATCCTTTTTTTTTTTTTAATCTTTAAAATAAAATCCATGGTCTGTTCGCCATTGAAGTGGTGGTGGTGGGGAAGTGGGGGTTATTTCCAGGTGATTGGTGATTTTCTTCCCACAGTTCGCTCCATAAGCCTCTTCAGGCACCGGTGTTTGCTTAAGGAGGTAAATCACCAGGAGTCTCCTCTGAGCAACTGCACTTGTTGCTAGCTGTCCCCCCCCCCCCCCCCCCGTCAAACACTATTCACCCTAAGAGTTGTGTACTAACCCCGGAGCCAGCAAAGGCTTGGAGGGATGGGGCCTCCTGAGCTGTCTTCAGGGGTGACTATAAGATAGTTGTGTGGCCGTTTGTTACGGGGCACCCCGCTGAGGCAATGACAGTGATGCTGATTATGTTCAGAGCCTTTCTTTCATGATGTCCTGAATACTCAGCATGGGAATTCCCGGCAGAGAGTCTTAGGACCCTTGGCCCATCACCTACCCGCTTTGCAGGGACGATGGTTTGAGACCAGAAAAGAGGGAGATTTAAAATGAGATTACTGACAGATGTTTTCTGTACAGAATTATTTGTCCCCAAATAATCATTTTACCGTAGTTGGAAAGAATATATTTCCTGGCTTCAAAAGAGGATTTAAAATCTACCTTAGATCTTATAGGCCTAGCTGCCTATTCCTCATTCTAATTAGCAATTGCTTATTTAAATGAACAATATGCCTCCCTGTCTAATGGTGAAGCCTGGGTCATAAAGGGCTCTGAGCCCTTGAGAGGAAAAGGCCAAGTTAAAAGTATGTTGCCATTTGCAGGATTACGTATTTTTTGCAAATGGCTGTGTTGCTGGCTCAGGGGAGACAGAGCAGATGTGGTTGGAGAGAACCTGGACACAGGTGGGGGTTTTATAAATCTGCCGACATGTGCAAGGAGAAACAGTGTCCCTGCCAGTTCATAACCACCGCCTGCTGCACTGCGAGAGAGATGAGAGACAGCTCCCGTGGTCCCTGGAGGCCCGCGGAGCCCAGGCAGCACTGCCCGCGGCGGGCAAGGGAAGAATGCCCAAAGCCATGTGACGAGAGCCACCACCCTGCGCTGAGCTGGCCTCTCTTATCAGAAAGCATGGCATGCGTTTTTATACGTCATAACCTGAGTCAAGTGCAGTTTAGGACCTTGACGGACTCATCCAGGCTGCTCTCCATTTTGTGCCTGTTGGGCGTTTGAATCTCTAATTGTTTCCTACTTATAAACTTGTATTCTCAGTTTAAAAACACAAAAACAAAAACACTAGTGTTATAGCCTAACCATACACAATAGTTCAAGACCAGAAATTTATTGATCCATTCAGAAGGTAAAATTTCTTGTTAGAAGCCGCTAGAGAACAAAATAATTACCTCCTCTATTTGAACCGAAATAGACTTTAGATAAATTGAAACGTCCTTGCAGTGGCTTTTATCCTGTGTTGTCATTCCTCAGACTGAAAGCACTAAAGTCACAGACGATGGGGTTCAGGCTGCAGCAATGTTTCTCTAAAAATTCTGGAATGTTCCTGTTCACCCACAGTTCCTGCTCATCTCCCCGCTCCCTCCCTTCCTTTTGTTTTTTCAAAAGTAGGAACACTACCATTTTTCCTCTACTCCTACCATAACTACAATCGACTACTATAATTTAATGGTATAATTCATTCTGCTTTTCTTTAATTCCATTAAATATGCTATATTGAAAGCCTAGTCACTGTCAGAAATAAATACAAGATGACAAGATGCATACGCTTTTTTGAACGAATTAGCAAAAACTTAGCAGAGAGACAAGTGTGTAAGCTAATAATAGTAAAATCACAAATTATGATTAAAAATGCAATTGTGGAGGCAAAGGGGAGGACAAATTGATTTCCAATCAGGAAAAATCACAGACAGTTTCTCAGAGATGGGGCATTGGCTCTAACTAAGCCTTGATGATTGCCAAGGATGTCCAGTACTAAAAAGGAATGGGAAGAAGTATCTAAGTGAGGAGTGCTGGGAATTGGCTTTGGAGTATTGATTGACATTAACTATAAAAAGTCTCTGGGCTGAAAATAATAATGAAGAGGTGGAAGCTACAACAGAAACAAATTGTCCTAAGTTAGCGTCAGTGCTCTGGGGCAGTCCACGGCAGGGATGGAATTGTGCATTCCTAGACATCGGGCTTCCTAACCCTACAATAGTTAGGGATGGCTGAGCATACCTAGAAGGAATGCATTGGGATGCAGCCGGCCATGGGGTTGGAGTTGTTCTGAGGGAAGCTGGAGAGTCTGTGAAGCAGTCTGGCCCGCTGCCTGGGATCTGCATTGCCAAGGCACAGAAAAACTCACCCTATACATACACCCTTAATTCTTGATTAGGTGGCTCCAGAAAAGTCACAACTGCCTGGAAAGAATTCTGGTCAAACAAAGAATAATAAGATCAAAGGCACAGAATTTTCATGGTAAGCCCCACAAAGACCAGTGTAGCTGGAGTTTCCAGGGTCTGGGAGAAGGGAGACGAGACCAGGTGTAGAAGGCTTTGGGAGACTACTCTGCTTGGGACTTTGGGTTGTTCTCCAAGCAGTGGTTCTTGAATGGGAAAGCAACCAGCTTAGCTTGGCTCTCATGAAGGTACCTCTTAATGGTCATAATGAAGTACAGGAGAGAGAAACTAGAGACAGGGAGACCACCCTTTGTGTTGTAATTGTCCAGGCAAGACATTGTGAACGTGTTCTATGGGTGGAAGGGTGATCATGAAATAGGGACAAGAGCAAGAGGGGCCAAATGCCATAGCAGGAGCCCGGGACTCCAGTCCCTGAGTCTGAGATGTTTGTGGAAGAAGAGAACACAATGAACGTTCTAAAGGTTTTTGCTGGCACGCTCAAAAATTTAGAACTTTATATAAAATGAATTTTTAGATGAATCATATTTTATATTGTTTCTTACATTTTAATTTTATAGTATAAACATAAAGCATTTCAAAATTTAACAAACCTCATGAAGTCATATTTCAAAGTAAATGGTAATCAATTTTAAAGCATCAAAAAAATTAAATTGCCCATAAATAAAATTTCTGATAGAAATATGTCTTATTGAAACTCTAATTTATAATATCTGACTGTTATGGCTAAATTGGAAGACTGTGTCCAGTTTCAATATTTGCACAATAAGGGCAACACTAGCTTAGTAGGTAATGCTAAACCTTGCCAAAAACAAAATATTTGCTCATTTAGCTGGACTTAGTAACATGTTACCCACACACTTGACATTTTAATAATGTAGGGTTTTACTAGGGCTGATTAATCATTAAAATATAAAGTTCTAAAGGTGTGCAAAGGTTTAATATTAGCCAGATTTTGAACCAAGGTAAAGATTTATCTGCCTAACATTGGTATCAATCATACACACACACACACAACTCACACATAATCTTTCTATATTTGAGGATGTATATATACTACGGGAGCCCTGGTGCACAGTGGTTAAGCATTCGGCTGCAAACCAAAAGGTTGGCTGTTGGAATTTACCACCTGCTAAGGCTATTCTATTCTGTCCTTCAGGGTCGCTATGAGTTGGAATCGACTCAAAGGCAATGGGCTTGTTTTTTTTTAATTTTATATATACTACATAAAATTACATAAATATGTGTTTATGTAATATATATAATTACACGTTCATGTATAATTTAAAGATATATATACCAAAGACTAATTGAAGAGTAATTGAAATATCCCAAATCAGATGGATTAAACTAGGAAGAACTCCTGAATGTATTAAAAACAAGGTGTTTTTTAGTCTATGTTGGAGGTATAGAGTTTAATGCATTATTTTAACTTTTTTCTTTGTTTTTAAACAGGTTATTTGGTATCAAATCAGTCATTCAAACAGACTGCTCCAGTACTTGGAAGATCATAGTAAACCCAGAGCTGTCCTGGTACCACCATGCCAACCCCATCCTTCTCTTGGTGATGTACTACACTCTGGCCACCCTCATCCGCATCTGGCTGCAAGAGCCCCTGGTAAGAAAGAATATGGTGTCATGATATTGTCTGCAAAGTAACCTGGATTCTCCAAATGAAACGATTCATTTCTATTAATTGTCAGAGAGAAGCTGACTAATCAATACTACATTCAAATGTAACTGTAGTGGTCTGGTTACGATGTTTCCGTTCTACAAAGAGCGTTAAGTGAACACAGCGCCATGAGAATTAAGACTTCTTTCTCTGACTGTATCGCTGTGTGTGGCTAAGAGCAGCGGGTCATGAGGAGAATAGAAGACTCGCTTTATTGAGCACTTACTAAGTGCCAGGGGTCATGCCAGGCTGTTTTCATACATTGTCTCATTTATCCCACTGAGCACCTCTGAAGAATACATGTTATTATTGTCATCTCACAGATGAGGAAACTGAGGCTAGGGGGGTAAAGTAATTGGTCTGAAATCACACACTTACTGAATGGTAGAATCCGATTCAAATCCATCTGTGACAACAAAGTAGAGTCTCAGAGACTATTCAGCCTCTGTCATCACAGTGACTGGAGTTTTCCAAACCTACTCTCAGCCTCTGAGGATGTCAGCCCAGCTGTCCGTGGCTCCTGTATTTCATTGAGGGGATAGGGATGAGGACAGGACAGACACTCCCCATTTCCTTCATGCATGAGTTGGGATGAGTTTACTCACCATGGGACAAGGATGTGACACTTAAGGGCAGAACCATGGAGGCTGCAAGACGTCTTGCCTTTTTTTTTTTTTTCAGTGACAGAAAACTTCAGTCAGCTTTTATTTCCTCTCCTAAATGACAGTTGTAAGGTAGCTCACTGGCCCATGAGCAAGGCCAGTGTTACAGGCAAAGGTTGTCACACTTTTCATGCACCACCTAGAGGGAGATATCAGCTCTCGTGTGCAGGGCTGGGCTGGAGGCCTCCGCCATGCCTCCTCTGGTGCCGCCTCCAGCTCCTTATCCTGTAGCAGTTTCCTCCTTCCCCCTTTTCTCTCTTCACACCTGCATCCCACATCCACACGCGTTCACTCAGTCGGTCAGTCAGTCAGTAAGTGTTTGCTGACAGCCGGCTGTGTGCCAGGCACTGATCTATGGCTGGGGACAGAGCAAGGGCCACACAGCAAGGTCCCTCCTCTCAGGAACTATTCCTTCTTCAAGAGACAGAGCAGCCCCAAAGAAGTAACGGGAGAAAGTCAGACAGACAGCACCACTGCAGGGGGTGCCGGTCTCCTTCCACCCTCACATGGCAGCTGCAGAAATGAGGTCTACACTGAGTTCCTTGCTATGGGTACCTCCTCCATCGCCACACGCCAGTGTGCCAGTGGCCATCGGTCAGGACAGGAGAACAGGGCCAGCCTCATGAGCGTGGTCCTCCTGGATCATCTCCTTCTGGCCCACAGATTGGAGTTGCAGAGTAAAAAATTGCTTTATAGGGTCAGAGGATCCTCATCATCTTTCATTACATTTTTCTCCAATTCTTGTCTAAAATTTTAGTGTACCAGCAAAAACCTTTAGAATTTTCATTGTGTTCCCTTCCTCCACAAACATACATATGGGTATGTATATACAGAAATACATACGTACCTAAGACATTAAAACATATTCTGGAAACTTATTTTGAACAGTGTCTTACAAATAATGGAAATTACTTTTAAGCACTCAAGAAAGTTGCCCGTGTTTTTAGCTTTCTGATAGTTCACACAGAAATAATGCGGTAACTTATATATAGATGCCGTCATAAAGTGAGAAGGCTAATGCCATAACCCCTTCAAGACCATGAGACCGTCTGTGTCCTCAGCAGCCAGCTGTCTGCGGGGCAAATGCAGGTAGAGAGAGAGCTAGGAGGACAATCTAAGTTACGGGCCCTACGGGTGACAGCAATATTAAAATCAGAATGTCTGGAGGGGATAGTAGGGCTTAGTTCATTCTAGCATGAACATTTCAGGTGATCTGTACTATAAGTAGGTCCCTGGGTGGTGCAAACGGTCGATGCACTCAACTGCTAACCATGAGGTTGGATGTTGGAGTCCACCCAGCGGTTCCTCAGAAGAAAGCCTGATGATCTGTTTCCAAAAAATCAGTCATTGAAAACCCTACAGAGCATGGTTCTACTCTGACACACATGGGGTCAATATGAGTCAGAGTCTCATGGTTGTATTTTAAGTGGACCGTGACAAACAGGCTTTCTCATTGAGGCAATGTTGGAAGCAGCTGGTGGATGTTATCATAGATCTAGGTGATGCAGTGAATTTGATAAAAACTACCAGCAACCAAATGTGAGTACTGAGGCAGAGGTCCATCAGACAAGTTTGAAAGAGAGAGACAGAAGCAAGTGTCAAGAGGTAATTCCCTATAATACATGGGTCCACATGGCAAGTGTGAATTCCCACTCTAGGAGTTTGAATGTTCACTGCCCTGTCCTGGTACACCGGAATCCAGGAATCACACACTGAGATTAGCTCCACTCCCTCAACCCCGATAGCAATGACATATTAACTACCTTTTTTTACTGGCACACCTTTGTTGGGAAGCCATGCTAAAGCACCCAGTTGCATCTGGTTCTTTATCGTTGTATAACTTAGGCTGATGTCTCCTTAGGCAAGACAAGAGCTTTGTGGGTGAGATATGCTTTTATTTAATGTGGGCTCCATATGGTTCTGCCTTTAATCCATTTCTTCATAATTAAACATTGCCGTTGGCTAGGTTACAAGGTTAACTCTGTGTTCTCTCGAAAGCCCTTGATCTAAGAATTATCCGCTTAGCTGCGTTCATTATTATCTGCTTAGCTGCGTTCATTATTTTCCACTTAGCTGTGTTCTCGTGCAGTTTAGAATACGCATTGAGAGGCTGTGCGTATTTAACATTAGAGCGTATTCTTGGAA